ATCTGGCCACGCGTAATCTCTTTTTTTCAGTAAATAAATTTTTTATCTTGAATAAATGCGATATACAAGAACGTTCAGCTCCCACCTTAAAAATTCACTGAATATGTTCTATGGACCAAGGGGCGTGCTAGTGCTACAGTTTGAAGCAGAGTCAGGATTTTCTCTTGAGAGGGGTCAAGTAGTGGTATAAAAATGTATTTTTATTGAATGTGGATTATTTGATGAGTTCGTTAATTTTATAACATTTACATATATAGAACATATAAGAATTAATCTCACACGGTATAGTATAATTATTATTTTCAATAAAATGAATAAAGTTAATCGAAACTAGTTGAATTATTATATTTAAAAGTTAAATTAATTACACCATTAATAATTTATAATAGTCTAAAATTTACAAATTTGTACAATACCAAAATTTAATGCTGTATAAAAATGTCAAAATTTTAATATTTAATGGTTCAACATGGTTTAATCAATAGTCGGGAGGAAAAAATAAAATCAAGATTATAATTTAATGTATAAATTATCATTTCAAGAATTTGAGTGATTTATAAAATATGATCAAAACATAATTTTAAGGATATAATATATAATTTTAAAAAATTGAGGGGAATTTATATTATATATATTATCATTTTATCAGTCTTATTATTAAAATCAATTGTCTATCGTATAATAGATATTTACAATAATTTTACATTTGTATAAATTAAATTTGAGGTCATTTTTTAATAACTTTGTTTACGATGCACAAGATAACTATAAAATAGAGTAAACAGAAGTAATGCACTAGTTATCTTTTTTATTTAAAAACAACAATTTTTCTCCATGATATCTAACAACTAGGGATAACTCATGCCTAAAAATACAGTGCAACGTGAGTTAGAAATGAAGGATTTAGAGAGGAATTCAATTTGAATGATTTTAAGAGAGATGTTGGTGATTGTTAGATAAGTCTATTTGAGACCGTCAGATTAATTTATTGAAATATGTCATGTTTTATATTATAAATGTCGCATTTATTTTAAGATTACTCAACTTGTATAAATTCTTATTTTTATATATATTTAGAAAAAAAAATTATTTTACTAGTCAAACTAACTTTCTATGTTTCTCTTTTACATTAAACAAATAATATGTATCATTGTATTTGATCTCGTATTTGACTTCGATTAACAAAATTTTTATTTGTAAAATTTAAACTTAAAATTGGAATTAGATATCTCAAAAGACAAAACAAATAATTTGAAAATAAATATATTTTAATAAATATTTAATATTACTATTATTACTAAATAAATATTTATAGGGTCTGATATAACATTTTCGCCAAAGGCCAAATTAGGTTGGACTGCCTTGCTTAGGCCATAACATGGCTCTGCCACTGGCTGTACTAGTAGAAAAGTTAGGGGCCGGAAAGATGTTACTTACTGCTTGATATCTACTTTGCAATCCTTCACTGCCATGTTCGGTAACTTTTCTTCTTTCATCTATCCACCAGGTTATAAAAATAAAAAAATAAAAAATAGAGAGAGAAAAGGGACGCAATCTAGCAGTAGTCGTTACAGATAAGGTCCATGAGAATTACTCATGGCATACAATATTTCTGATCTACAAAAATAAAATTTAGTCTCATAACCCAACAGGCTATATGTATTATGCTTACACACACAATCTATTTTTTTGGTGACAATGGCATCATATACATATTGGACATGTTATGCATCTTACAGGCAGATTGGGTACATAGCGGATTACAAGATTGTATTACAAGTTACATTATTAGAGATTCTCTTTTTCTCAAGTTGGCATGTTATGAGATTACGAGATTACAAAGGCTACTTTCTGTACAGGTGATTTTCAAATGAACAACCGCGAAATGGAGGCCCAACCGGAGCTTGTGAATCAAGCAGAGGCTGAGAGCAAAGCAGCCAGGCTTACTAAAACACCTCTTGCCGCGCAGGTTGTACTACGTACATTCTCATATCTTATGACAATGTCAACCTATACGCAACTTGTCCACTTCAACTATTCTCATTATGGTGATAATCATGTTGTGTTTTTTCACAGTTTTGTTCACGTCAATTTGAATTTGTATTCAATCTTAGTTAACCTCAACTCAACTTGTTAAATTAATTATGTGATATCATCTAAGACAAACTTGAAATTTTTATTTGAAGTGTCATGTTTAGGTTAGCACTCATAACTAGTGAATTATAAATCGAGACCTGGAACTCCCTTTTCTCTTTAAACTAACACAACCACCCAAACACTTGCAATAAACAAAAAATTTGTTCTGCTTACAATATGATGAAAAAAAAAAAATCCTAACTCTACAAAATTCATAGTTTCATAATATACTAAATAAATGAAAATTAAAAAAAAATTAACTTACTAAATGAGTTTTTATGGTCAAAATTAAATTATTTTTGTTTTATATTGACACATCCCATTTAATATTAGTGTTGGCAAGTCACATTATTTTTTATTTTTTTTAAAGTAAATCCTAACCACTAATTTCGGACGGGTTGATCTCGTATTCAATAAATCATATGAAAAATATAGCATCCCTAATTCCCTCTGTCAAATGTTTTTTTGGGTCAGAATCAAAAATGTTTCTTGCAATTCGAATTATGGCATCTGAACTTTAGATTCTACTATGTTAATATTCGTTTTGCTTGTTTTGTTGGCTTCATTGTACGGATGAGTAGTGCAGAGGGAAAGAACGGGAAAGTTAACTTTGAAAGATGTCAGACAGTATTTCAATCTTCCCATAGATGATGCGGCTAAAAAAATGAATATATGCCCCACTGTCATGAAGAAGATATGCCGCAGAGATGGGTTGTTACGTTGGCCATACCGAAAGGTCTCTCTCTCTCTCTCTCTCTCTCTCTCTCTCTCTCTCTCTCTCTCTCTAAGTTGAATCTACTGCACATATATTGTTGTGTGTAAGTGTCTCTATTTCTAATGGACGCAGATAAAAAGCATTGAGAAGAAAATTTCAAAGAAAAAAGGAAGTTTAGCTGCTATTGATGTCAAAGAAAGGGCAGGGACACAAGCGGACATAGAGAGCCTTCAACAAGAACTTGCCTCTATATTTGTAGGATATAGTGGCTGATGTGACTTTGATCTTACTAGTAGATTAACTTTGGACCACAAAAATTTTAAAAAATATAGCTAGATACTATTTTATCTTATTTCTTCAGTGTGGTTGTCATAGAGAGATAGGCTTTGATATTATTCCGATGTACAGTGAGAGAAAACTGCCGTAATAATTGTACGAGAAGAATATTCCTTAAAAAAAGTTATAAATTTTGGCCTAATTTCCAGTTATCTCGTTAAATATTGGATTTCACTATTAATTTTTGTTGACTATTAATTCATCTATAAGTATTTTGTTATTAAATGTGTATATATAATTAGATTATATTAAACTATATTAAATTTAAATCACACAAAAACAAAATTTACCTTGTATATGCAACCAGTTTATAGAAACCAAAATTAACAAGCAACCTAATACAGTTTGTATACTATTACATACAAACTAATCTAAACATAATATATAACAAGGAAAATCAGTGCACTCAAAGTGATGTAGATCTGTATGAACAGTCAAATTAGAAAACCAGAATATATAATCCGAATCTTGTGTAACTACAATCTCCTTAAGACAGATTTGCTCCTCTTGGCGCTCAAGGTTGGCAAGAAACTGCCTCCCAAGATAAAATAGATTTCGTCTTTGCAAAAATAGCACTTTAATCTCCAAAGATCAACAAACACAACTTGTGTTTGTACTTGAATCGAATAATAAACAGAATGCAGAAAGAGAGAGAGCAAATGCACTAATATGTAGAAAGTCAGTCTTTTAAATTTGTCCTCAAAAATGGTAGAGAGGCAGTCTATTTATAGACTCGTTGTGTCTGCTTGAATCACCTGAAGAGACACACCAGTGCCCGTTCAAATCGAAGAGACAGACCCTTTGATCTGAACAGTAGCGAAAATGGAAAGACACGAATAGATAGGAACAACACCAAATTCAAATTCTAACAGGCAGAAAGTTTTAAATTTCAGTTGAAAGGCTAAGACTGATCTGCGATTATCCTAGTAAGAGTTCCTAAATTGAAAGAATTCAAAAAGAAACGAACTATCCCTTGATCTGTGCTTAAAACTCATTGCACAGTTGACCCTCGAGAATCCTTCCTTAGTTTGCCAATTATGAGAACAAAAATTACATAATGGTGATTGAATTGTGGATATAATGAAGATATTTTCTCTTAAAACAACAACTATTCCCAAACATTTTGCTGAAATCACACCCTTTTATTCAGTAAACCAATGCACCAACCCCACACTTCCATATTGATGTTACCGTTTCACTAAGGAATTTTCAAAAAAAAATATTGTGAGGATTGATGAGCCCAGATTCAACTGGGTCAGGCCTAAATCTGCTAAGGGGCAGGCCAAGCCCAGTTCGACAATTCGACCCAGCCCAAATTCGAAGGAGTCCAAGAATAATTAGAGCACATGGAGAGCAATTATCAGGATACTCACACTCGAAGATCAAGACAACCTTTAATTGCACTTGTCTTTTGTAGCTATCCGAAGAATTAGTATATTTACCCTCACGTCACCGCCTCACCCAAGGACTTTATGCTTATAAATTGTAAGCTCTCTCTACATGGGAGGAACCTTTTTGTATATCTACACACCCCTCTTAGAGCTAACAATTGCTCTCTCTCTCTCTCTTTCTCTCTCGTTCACCTTACTTGATTAATAAAGGTTCTCCGGCTACTATTGTAGTTTTTCGAAGTGGAGTAGGTCACCCGAACCGAACCACAATATAAATGTGTATTGACCCGATATTTACCTTATTGTCATTAATTGCTTTATTAATTGCCTCATTGATTCCCTAGCATCATTCACACAACGGTTGATCTTGTGTAAGTCTATTTTGTGCATCATCAGTTTGGCGCTGTTTGTAGGAAACAACTAAGTTTTTTGCTACCTTACTACTCTCTTTCAAATACATGGCGATCAAGACCAGGTTGATGAGTCAATAATAGGAGGACAACAACTAGGCCCACTAGGAGGAGGCTCCGCCTCTACCCACATGTGCAGAACCATCCACTACGGCAACTCCCATGATGGAGCAACAACTTTTGCAGACTATGCAGATGCTGGTAAATCAAAACTAGCAAATCATCCAGTTGATGCTCGCCTCAGGAAGCGTTGCCCCTCAGCACCGCAAGCAATCCACTCTGGGAACCAAGGCACTCCCCACCGTGAAGCCCCATGCCAGAATGCCCATAAGCAGCACCAGGGTACCCCTTGCCTAGGAGTCTCTCCTCAGTGCATGGAAAGCTCACGTGTTCCCCCTCCTTATGTACTTGCGCAAGAAGATGAGGAGAAAGCCAGTATGTTGATCATGAAAGCCACTACAATAACCCAATGAAGGATATCCCCAACCAATGGGACGAGAAGATTAGGGAGGTGCAAAACCAATTCGGTGATGCCCTCAACGTCATCAAAGCACAGGCGCTGAAAACGGTGGATTACTTGGTAAGGCAAACTGATACCCTGTTTGTTGTTGATGTTGGCAATTACCCTCTACCCTCGAAGTTTAAGATGTCTGCCATCGAGATCTTCGATGGGACCAAGGACCCTTTGGATCATCTTGACACTTATAAATATCTCATGCAACTCTACAATGTGCCTGATGAGATCATGTGTAGAGCCTTCCCCACCACCTCGAAGGGGTCTGCTCAATAATGGTTCGCAAAAATCAAACCCTCTTCTATCCACTCATTCATAGAGCTAAGTAAATCATTTGTCTCCCATTTCATTAGAGGATGCCAACGTTAGAAGCTTGTTACCCACTTGTTCACCATTAAGCAGGACTAGGATGAAAGTCTTAGGAGCTACCTCACTCGTTTCAATAAGGAGGCACTCCAGATCGAGGAGCTAGATGATAAGGTAACCATGGTCGCCTTTATCGTAGGTTTGCGCTCTTCCAATTTTATGTTCTCTGTCCTAAAGAAACCACCCTCCAGCATGCCCGAGTTGCTGTTAAGGGCACAAAAGTACATTAACGCTAAGGATGTCACCATCTCCCGAGGAGGGGAGAAAAAGAAGGACACCCATGAAGACAAGCGGGAGGTAGAAAATAAGAGAAAGAGGATAGAGAAAGTCTTTGTCAAGGACCGTCTCAATCCCATACCCTAGAGAGAATGATAGCCCTTCACACCACTCAACGCCTCGATGGAGCATATCCTGTTCTATATATAGGATGACCCCACGCTTTGCTAGCCAGAAAAAATGAAGTCTGCTCCAAATCGCATAAATCTAAGCAAGTATTATCATTTTCACCGTGACCATGGCTACGAAACCGACGACTACTTTGAGTTAAAGAGGCAGATTAAGGAGCTTATTCAATGTGGTCAGTTACGGCAAAATCTTACTGGCCGAGGACAGGCCATACTACCCGGCCAAAATCAAGAGGATCGAGAGCCAACAACCCCTCGAAGAGATCCAGATGATCTCCGAAGGGTTAGGATGATGAGATGACTCCAAATTTGATAGGAAAGCACACACCCGAAAAACCAGGCAGGTAAACTCACATGACTTTCGCTCGATGAAGACCCTCTGGCACGAGGAGGAAAAGGTCATCACCTTCTCGAAAAGGAACATCGAAAGAGTCCAAGTCCCTCATGATGATCCTTTAGTCTTAACTATGATGGTAGCGAACAACCAGGTTAACATAAATCTAGTCTACAGTGGTAGCTCAACCGATATTTTGTTTACACCAGCCTTTGACAGCCTGCATCTGAGTAGGAAGAGATTGCAACCCATCAAGACTCCTTTTGTTGGCTTCTCGGGGGAAAGGGTTTATCCCTTGGGTTCCATCACCCTGCTAGTAACAGTAGGAACAACACCAAGGAGTTCCACCATCATGGTAAACTTTATTGTACTTGATTGCCCCTCTGCCTATAATATTATTCTTGGACGCCCTACCCTCAACAACTTAAGGACAGTACTGTCCACCTACCACCTTCTCCTCCATTTTTCAACTACCAGTGGGATTTGAGAGATCAAAGGAGAGCAGGTCTCCGCCCAAGAATGCTATGTAGCCCTCTATGAGGGCCAAAAGGCCACACGAGACTCTCCAAGTCGAAGTACATGACCTGAGGGATGACAGGACCTTGGAGAGAGGGGAACAAGCAGAAAAACTTCGGCCAGTAGTGGTGGATAACAGCCTTCCATAGAGGAGAGTCTCTAAAGGCTCCTCATTTTCCTAAGAGCAAGCATCCGACCTAAAAGACTTCCTCAGGCAGAACACGGATGTCTTCGCCTGGTCCCATGAAGACTTGGAGGGCATCAACCTCGAAGTGGCCTCCCACTAACTCAACGTCGATCCCAAGTACAAACCTATCTGCCAGAAGCTGAGGAATGTAAGTACTAAGAGAGGACAAGACATGGAAAAGGATGTGGAAAAACTACTGAAAAATGGGTCAATAAGGGAGGTAGCCTACCCAGACTGGCTATCCAACGTAGTGATGGTTACAAAGGTCAATGGAAAGTGGCGCCTCTGCAAGAACTTCACAGAGCTCAACAAAACCTGTCTCAAAGATAGTTACCCTATCCCACGCATCAATCTCCTTATTGATGCCATTGTAGGACACGAGCTCCTGAGTTTTCTATATGTTTACTTCAGGTACAACTAGATTAGCGTGTTCCCTCCAAACTAGGAAAAAGTCATATTCATCACTCCGAAGGCCACCTATTACTACATGGTGATGCCCTTTAGACTCAAGAAAATCGAAGCCACATATTAGCGCCTAGTTTTTCATGCAACTGTGCGCCTCATTTTTCTTGCACCTAAGGGAGTATCTAGCCTTTCTTGCTATACCCGACACAAGTTTTTCATGCAACTGTGCGACTCTGTCAAACCTTGGTCCGACTGTACCAAGCCCACTTATCAACTACCAAGGATGGTGTTTGATCCAACAACATGCACACACACGTACACTCATGTCAAATGCTCACAAATGCAATGTTTCACGTGCTTACGCAAATGTATATGTACAAGTTTTAACTCTCATCATTATGCAATTAAGA